AACTCTGAATTGAAGGTGAGAAAAGTACAGCCTTCCTTACCGGCCCCAGTTCTGAACCAGGAATTCAGAAAGTTCTGAATTTCCAAGAAAAAGGGAAGAGTAGTTAAAAGGAATCGAAGACTTTTTCCTTTAAGAAAAAATATTTGTTCTGTAGGAAACTGTACATGTTCTGGAAAGGGTTGGCATTTAGATTGTTTTATGTTTCACTGTGGTACTAAGTCAAGTTTTTTTTTTTTAAAAAAAAATATCTCTACAAGCTAATTAATTCTGATTAATTTCAACTTTTACCCATTTTTTACACTGAACACATTGTTTGTAATCATGATGTTATGATGAATTGTAACAAATGGAAAGCTCTGCAACATCCATTTGAAGATTCTGCTGTGAAGATTCGTATTTATAGCAGAGAAGCACCATATTGTAATCTGCTTGGAGTGTTATATTTTCTTTTTGTTTTGAATATAGCTGTTTTGGATATTTAAAATTCAAACGGTTTTTTTTACAGTTTATTTTTCTAATAAATTTTCATCTGATTTATCTTCTGTGAGATTGTTTAATCTCCCATAGGGCAAAAATAAAGGCGGAAACCTTTAGTAACACACATCTGTGCTACAAGACCATACATTTATATTACTGAAATTACCTACATTATATCGAAGTATGCATTATTTTTCATTAGAGCAATAGCATTTAGACTTATATATTGCCTCATGGCACTTTACAGTATATTCTGGGCATTTTCCAATGTAAAAAGCATTATTTGCATAATGCCCCCAACAATCTGTGTCCTCATTTTACTGACCTCGGAAGGCTGAGTCAACTCTGAGCCCTGTCAGGATGGAACTCTAGGCTGTGGGCAGAGTTTCCCTGCAATACTGCACTTTAACCATGGTGCCACCTTGATCATTAATTAAGACTTCCTTTGGAGCAGTACAACTTTTCTTGCTTAGTACAGGTATTCTGTATAATAAGTCTTCTCAACACAAAGAAGCTTATTTTTTTCTGGACACTGGACAACCACGAGATTTCCAAATCTGAAAGGGGCAATATGTTGCAAGTACACTTCTGCCCAGATTGGCTGTCATACCAACTTCACACGCCTTCTTCCTGCTGCTTCTAGGCATGGCAGTCTCTGGAATGCATTTCCTTTCCATATGATTGTCAATTATTTTAAAGGCGACCAGCTGCTTGGGAGGTCACCACATGCCTTATCCTTATTTATCAGTTAGCGAAACTAGAGCAGCGCTGCAGTATTTGTCCAATTTGCTATTTTGATATTATCTTGGCAGACAAAAACCATGCTGCAGTCACACCGCAAAAGTTAAAAAAAAAAATATTGGCAACTTATCTAAACCAAAACCAAAAAATTCTGTCTATGTATGCATAGGAACCAAAACAAGACATTTCCTGGCCAAAAAATTAACAAGCATAAATCTCCGAATTTAATCTACAGAGAGAAAAGGACACAGCTCTATTTTTTTTCAACAAATGTTAATGTTTTCCCCATTTCTCTATGCCATTAATGCAGCTTCCAAGAAAAAAAAAACAGCAAGGAAAACCAATCTAACAATCGATATGGATTCAATTTCATATTGTCCTGAACCAAGCCTACAGCCTTTTTCAATGGGTCACTACAGCAGCTTGCCAGAGAAGCTGATGCTGCTATCCTTGTAGGGCCTGAAAAGTGGTATCTAACAACTCAGCAATGGACCCTTTTCAATTTTAAATATACAAAATACCTCCATTCAAAACAAAAAGAAAATATAATGCTCCAAGCAGATTACATTATGGTGCTAGTCTGCTACAAATATCAATGCCACAATGGATTAATGCAGTTCCATTCTTTTTTTTTTCTTTTAAAACTGTTCAGTGTTAGTTCTGATCCTTATGGTAAGTTGCTGGTTTGGTACTGAAAGTGCTGGACATTTGCACAGCACAGAATTTCTTAAGGTGAAAACATTTTGTTTGTCCTTTATTATGTGGACATCTTGAGACTAATAAACTGTAAATGGCTCTCAACCTCCTTCTCCTTCAAATTTATCAATTTCAATGGCTAACTGCTGAAAAACAGAATTTAATTTTCCATTACTTTGGGCAAAATTTTTACAAAGTGAAAGCTTTATTTAAGGATAAAAATTCAAGAACCTTCCCAAATCCCAGAAAAAAAAAAATCATCCCTTTGAATAGCACCAACCACATCACTATCTTGACTGCTGCAAGATAGAAAGGCTGCCAGCCACTCAGTGTTGTCATCCTGACCCCGCACCGCCTATTTCTTCTATTAAGTGTTAAAACCCTAAGAATTCAGACTTCCAATTTAAGAATGCAAGTAAGGTGGTTTCAGATACAGAACATTCCTTGTATGTGCAAGAATGTTCTATATTAGTATTTCTCAACCTTGGCCATTTTTTGATGTGTGGACTTCAATTCCCAGAATTTTCCCCAGTCAACAAGGCTGGCTGGGGATTTCTGAGAGTTGAAGTCCACACATTTGAAAATGGCCAAGACTGAGAAGCACTGGAAATAAATCTCATCCTAACTCTGTTGACTTTATTGTTCATGTCCTGATGGAAGTAAAGATTAAACATCTGTTCCTTAGAACATCCCACTTCATGTATTAATGAACAATAATTCCAGAAAACAGTTTTTGCTTTATGAATTTTAATATTTGGGTTTGCAGCTATGAAAGTAAAGCTCTTACTGGACATTTCCATGCAGATCTGAGGTAGATTCAAGATAACAGCAGTAGAAAGATTCTGCTGTGTGTTAAATAAAAGTGAAATCTGGGATACAGTTATTGGAGAATAAATTTTGCTAAAGTCACTGGGATTTCATATTGAATAGAAAAGCACTGGATTGCAGCAGAAAGCTTTATAGTTTCCTGCTTTATTTATATATTGGATTTATAACCCATCTTTTATTTGGGAACTTTAGACAGCATTCATAATGCTACCCCTCCTATTTTTCCCTACAGCAGTACAATAAGGAAACCACTATCTGGGACTCCACTCTGTTTATTGTGGGTATAGTCCAAGCAAGAAACAACCAACACAGAACTCTGTTTAGTTAGACACTTCTCTAGTCTCCAAAAGCCATTGCCACCCGCTGTTCTGGGAGGTTGAAATCTTTGGAGATTTTTCGAATGTTTTTCCCACAATATTTTTTTTTGTTTTTTTTTTCTTGCTGAAATTCTCCTAAGATTCTTTTGGAGAATTTACATTATTAAAAAGCAGCACATACATAATTCAAATAAATATATGAATAAATAATAAAGGCAATGGAATGAAATATACTTTGTTGGAAAATTACACAGCTGCAGTCTTGAAGAAGTTCAAATATCAAATTAACAATGAGCAATTGAAAGGGAGGAGAGGAGCAATTAATATGCAAGGCAAGAAAACAAGGGCTGGTATGACTGCAGGGAGAGTTGACAGAAGCAATGGTAAACTCAGCAAATGACTTTACCAGGTGGTTCATGTGGTATTAATTATAAACATGGTCTTCACTCTTATTGAGTGGATTACTATAAACACTTAGGTTCCGATAATTTTTAAGTTTCATTTACAAAGCTAAACTAAAAATATTAATGGAGCAGCTGGGTTGATGGTGAAAAATGTATGAAAAAATGCCCTTTTTTTGCTTTGGTTGGATGCAAGTTTTTTCTTCTTCTTTTTTTGTAAATTATACTCACCCTATTTTAGGACCTATATTTTTTGTTTTATTTATTCAAGGAAATTTTAAGGGTAGGGTTATTAGTTTTGGCTTGCAGGTATTAAAACAACCACAAGGGTGCAACAAGATGTTAGTGTTTGGGTTGTTTCTCTGCTGCCATCTAGTGGGCATCCAGTTTTTGCTCTCTAGGAGGCTTGGCTCTTGCAGTTCCTCATCCGAAACATCTTAAACTGTTTGGAGGTTTCCTTTAGTGAAACCCAGAATATGAAATAATTGATGAGCGAGGGTTATTTCATCTGACCCAAACAGATCAAGAGAACATCATGAACACAATGCTTTCCTTCCAGAGTCACTTCTAGTGAAATGGGTAGCCATATACATTCCATCAATAAATCAATACATTCTAAAACATCATATAGTCAATGAAAATATATTCTTTCTATAATTGGTTAATAACAAAGTGTTTTACATTAAATAAGGAGGAAAGATAATTCAAAGCCACCTCCCTGTTTTTCTGAAAAAAAAACAAAAACAAAACCAAAGCATCAGGAGAAATACAATAAGTTAAAAGGTGCCCCTTTGCAGATCAAGATAAAATATTCCATATATACTTAAAACAGCTTGTATTTTCTTTTCCGATGGAACAGGAGACAAATCAGTAGAGCTGGTAATAAAGAACAAGTTTCAACCAACAAAGGATCATGCAGGAAGAAAGGAAATGAACATTCAAAAAGCCTACCCAAACCATTTATTTTTAAAATGAAACAAGATATTCCTGTAGCTAGTTATTACTTCACACCTAAGAAATAAGGAATACATTATGTTTTATCTGCATGCACAGATACTGATGAATAAAATGACTGCAGGCATAAAGATATCACAATTCTCTCCCCACCACTGGAGGACTTGTGGATTGAGACTGTTTGGGAACAGAGAGCACTTCTCCTGAATGAGCCACTGCAACCTGGGAGAACTCCTTGAGTTTTAAGCTGTGAGTGGATTTGCAGACAGCGCTATATGCCAGGAAACACTTTTGCAGAAGTACATCAGATAGACCAGCTGCAACCCTTCTGAAGCTGTTAAATTTGGCAAGAGTTTTTTTTTTTTTACACCTAGGATCAGCCTCTCCTTGGTTACTACAATATGTTTGATACGAGGCTACCCTTGACATGTTTCCAGAAACTGTTATTGGCAGCTGGACTGTTAGTTGTGCTGAAAGATATGTATCTTTATATTTTATAATTCTGCAAAACAATTTATGTTTAGTTATCAATGGATCTCAAGTCATGTCCTTGAAGTAATTTATTCTAAGTCATATACCACAATCTTCACACACGACAGCAAACACAGATGTTCCCATTTTCTTTCCAATACCATTTCAACATAGTTTGGTGAATTGCCATATACAATGGCACTCATAAGCAAACCAATTACATCATTTAAGAAGGACTGCTTCATGTATCATGAAATTGACTTGGAAGATGGATAGATGAGAGAGAGAGAGAGAGAGACAGAGAGAGACAGAGAGAGACAGAGAGAGAGACAGAGAGAGGTCTTCAGATTTGAAGAAGACATACTGTTGTACAATTCATCTGGGAACTCAAGAGATGGTTCTGCAGTGTGGCAATGCAGAATGTAGCACAACGGACACTGGAAGTCCACTGTAATAGCTATGAATATTGTTCTGTGGTACTACTAATGGTTGTCTAGTCAAAGCTGGCTTCATAACACAGGGCTCGCCAGCAAGTTGTGTCAGCAGCCATAGCTTCTAGTTCTTTGGCTGAATATGACAGCTGTATAGGATTTCCTTCACAGCTTCTTCATAGCACATGTAGTACATATGTAATGACCCTGAGGTCTCTTTCCAGTCTCCAATACACTAGGCTAGAGAGCAACTGGCAGGGTATGTCTATTCTAATGACATTTCCCACCCATCATATCTGGGCTCTGATACTAGGAACTCAATGCTGTGATCCAAAACCTCCAGGCTGGAGACATGCCTTCCAACAAATTTCTCCAGATGCTTGATCTGTCATTGATACAGAATCCTGGATTCATATCCATATAGAACATAGATAACCATAGCTCTGTGGACTTTCAGATTTGTGAAGATATGGATATTGTGTTGATTGAGCATCCTACTACAGAATATGGTTGGCCTTTGGAGTCCATATTTTCTTCCAAAGACCCATCATTTGCTTCCCAAGTATTTGAAACTTCTTACATTTATCAGCTGGATATCATCAACAGTGATTTTTGGTTCAAATACCAATGGGGTTGTTATTTGGCACAGTTTGATAGAATTACCAGCTTTTTTTCAGGCAGATAGGCCAAAGGCATAGCAGTGTCTGAGAATTTATTCAGTATCAACTCTCAGCCATTGCTTTGTGCACTAGGAGCACAGTCATCAGCAAAAACATTTTCTTGAATGACTTATGGAGGCACTTCATCTATGTGTTCAAGCAACGAGGTCAAAGAGACCCTGGATGGCATGTAATAATATGCAAGTGAAGAATAGATTGAACAGGACTGTAGCTAACACACAACCTTGCTTCACCCATTGGAAATGGCAAATGCAGCTGATGTATTACCATTGTAAAAGATCTGTCCAGTCATTCCATCAACTTCATGAATTTCCTTGAACATCCATAACATTTCAGGATGGTCTAGACTCTAGAGAGCCTTCCTGTTTACAGTGTCAGATGCCTTTGTCAAGTCAATAAAGACAGAATGAAGAAGTTTGTTTGTTCAATGCACTTTTGATGGATTTGTTTCGTGGTAAACACCATGTCTGCTGTACTATGTTCTAGCCCCACACTGTATCCCTGAGTGGCTCCTTTCCAAGACAGTGACAAGTTTGTAGAGGAGAATGCAGGCAAAAATCTTGCTTGTGATGGACAGCATTGGAATACCCTGTACTTTCCACAGTCTGATTTGCTTCTATCAGTTTTATAGAAAGCCACAATGAAGGCATCACAGAAGTCTTCAGGCATCTTGTCTATGAACCAGACATCTGCCAAGATGTACTGGAATCCAATAGTGGTGAATATCTGTAGCTCGGGTGTATAATCCTACACCCACATACTGGAATATCTATAAAGAATCTGAGGGCTTTGTAGATTTCAGCAGGAATTCTATCCTGCCCTGTTGCTTTATTTGAGTTCATATGTAAAATCACTTTCTTGATCTTATCAGCAGAAGGAGGCAGATCTTAGGCACCCTTCTGTTGTAAGACATCAGGATCAACTGTTTAATAGTTTGGAAAAGTGCTCAGCCCAGTAGTTCTCAGTTCTTCCTGATCATCCACCCAGTTCAACTCCAGGAGATGACAGCAAGTGGGAACATCCTGATTTAGAAGCATCATAAACTGCTTTTATGGTGCTGAAGAACTCTCTGGTGGCATGCATGTCTGCATAGCATTCCATCTGCTCAGCAGGCTTTCTCTGCTACCACTCATCCTGCATTTCTTGCAGTTTCTCCTCTACTTTGGACTATAGATATTCAAAGTTTTTTCTCTTTGAGACAGATGATAAATGCCAGTTTGCATAGGTTTTGTTTCAGCCTGGAGGGCTGCTGAAATGGCCTCATGGTTTTCATTAAAACCAATCTTGGTGCACCCAGGTTTTCAGTATCACTACTACCATTGTTGCAGTCTGAGTGATGACATTTTTAAACTGCGTCCACTTTTCAGAACAGGTTCCTACAAGTGATAAATTGTTGGAGAGTCATTGTTTTTTTAAATAAATACATCTTGAAAGCATTGGATTTGACCTGGGTCCTGCAGTCTGATGGTGTTGAATGACGTGCTGACAGTCCTTTGGTGGCATACAGTGTAATGGGCTACATGCAGGTTGAGGATTGACCAGCCCAGCCTATGATCTATCAAATACTTGGCTATGTCATAGTTCATCAGCACGACCTTAAAGATGTCTCCTTCACCTGGAAAATATAATATAACAGCTTTATGTTAGGGTGTCACCCTACAGTCAACACACTAAAGGGATGCATCCTTTCACAAGGATTGTTTCAACACCATTCTTCTTGGTAAGACACTTTGAAAACTGCTCACCACAAAGGTCAATGTTATCACAAATAGATAAAATTATCTTTAAAATCGCCTCTATGTAGACTCCACAGTAAACAGCGCATATCACAGCCAGTTTTGCCACTTTCCATCTAGCCCCATGCAGCTCTATATTTCAGTATAAGAAGATCAGCAGGTGATCAGGCATTTGATTGCTGCGGCTTCCGTCAGGAAGAAAAATCTAAATTGCTTCTTCTTGATTTCTAGTAAGAGAGAAGCTTAGCAGCATGGGGCTAGTTCGAAATGGCCATCCTGATTCACTGGACAGCTGCTGGTTGGTGGCAAAAAAAGGGGAAGGGAATAGATGCAAATTTACACCCTTTCCAAATGTATCATTACATAATTAAAATAATAAAAACAAACACATGCTAGATTATTAAAGATAAACACATAAAAATAGGTCCAAAGACTTATAAATATAACTCTCCAGAATATATTTATGAAATAAGTTAGTACTAAGCAGACTTTAAAAGAAATATTGCTATGACTCAGGGATTTCAAATTATTCAGGACTGCTATGTCAGAAACCAATTTGCATCATTAAGTCTAATTTCAGGAACTCGGTATCAGTCACTCATCAATTTTCCTCTTCACCAAAATCTGTATTCTTTTTAAAATTGTCTTTGATCTCCTCAGTGATCTAGAGTCTTCAGAAAAACCAAGATATGTAGCACATCTATAATTGCACAGAACACAAACCATTAAAGTATAAGTCAACAAAGAAGAAAAGTGATCAGCATCATTTTTCTGGTAACGGTACTGGAGGAAAAAAAAAAGTAGCGTAACAGACAGAAAGAGCAGTGGCAGAATAAGAATAGAAGGAAACAGAAAAATGGGTGACATGTCCAAGAATATTATGAAGGATCCAGATGGATCCTTCAACCTGGCAATCTCTTAGTTGATAATGGACAATGGAAACTATAGGCATTTGGTAACAAATAATGAGATCTTCACCTACAGTATTTGTTTTGACTGAGACTTTCTCCTTTGATTGTTCTATAACACGAGTGTTAAACTCGGCACATCATGTGACGTGTCGTGACGTATCGCAACTTTTTTTTCATTGCCAGAGCTGGGGTGGACACGACCTCCGCACGATGCAACCGGCTCACGGGCCAGCAGTTTGACACCCCTGTTCTATAAGGACCAGGATCAAAGAAGAAGAGCAAGGCAGAGAATAATGAATAAGGAGAAGCCAGCAACACTTTTGTAATAATTCAAGTGTTCCTGTAATCTGTGACCACTTAAAATTTGGTTTAGGAGAATCAGTGGTAATGAATGATGACTAATATTGAAAAGATGAACAATCATTTTTTAATCAGAATAAAGAGATTTATTGTTACAAGTTGAAAAGTTCTTTATCGGTGATGGGGAGAACTCTGGATTTAATATGAAGAAATCTTGGGAGGTAGGAAAACAAAGAATTCAGAGGCCTTTGGGCTGAATAAAAGCAGCATAGAAAAATACAGAAAGAAGTGTAACTGGGGGGAAAAAGCTCTGGAAAGAAAGTGAACATGTTACAGGTGCATGGCAGAAAAAAAATCAGCTTGCAAAATTTCAGAAGTAGGAAAAATTAGGGAGGGAGGGGCTAGCTGAGAATGAAAAAGACCAAGCTGGGATGAGGGGGAGGAAGATGCAAAGGGCAAAAGAGTAATAGGTAAGGCTTGGACTCCTTAGACAGGCAGCAAACGAGTGAAAGGATTGTTAGCTTTCTATTCCTTTAAGGTGGGGATGGACAAGCTTAGAATCTGCAGGGCCAGACACAGCTTAGAAGCCTTGGACACAGCTGCAAACAATCTTTTAAAAGCTGCCACCAGGTTGTAATTATTAATGTAACAGAAAATAAGTGTGAGAAGAATGATAGTCTCAGCACATGGCAGCACTTGTTTAATCTCATCTAGGTTGTGGAGCTGAGTAGGTTGGTCCTGATGATGATATGGTTGGAAGGAATTAAAAAATACCAAGTCTATGAGTTAAAAGGGGGGACAGGGAAAAATCCTATGAGGAGACAGGAGGCAAGTCAGTTCTATACTGTTGCCAAGGAACTATATGGATGTATCCATGGGATCACCAAGGATGAGAGCTCAGCTTGAAGGATACTTTATCTTTTAATTATATTGGTTCCATCATTTGTTCTAGATGTTAATTAAAAATCAAATTTAGCCCTGCAGGCTACTTAAAGAACAAAGATGGACCTTAACTTTTAAAAAAGTTGAACACTTGTTTTCAGATAAGCTCAACGAATGCTATGTCAGCCTGTATAATAAAGCTTATCTCATTCATGACTTGATTGTGAATGAAAGGGTCAACCTGACATGCTTTACTGAAACCTGGGTGGATGGGCCCCCCTCTTGAAAATGTGCCTTTCCAAATTTCAGGTGTGGCGCCAGTAGTGATTTCAGGGCAGGGTTCGGTATGTGACTGTGGTTATCTTGTAGTCTTTGGTGATTCTTAGAGATGCTGTCACATAAAGCCAGATGAGAGAACCTGTTCATGAAACTGGGCCATAAGGATCAGTTGGAGCTGCAGCAGAAGGGTATCCATGCCTCTTAAACCATTAAGCTATGTCAGTGGTGGCGAACCTATGGCACGTGTGCCACAGGTGGCACTCAGAGCCCTCTCTGTGGGCACGTGCGCCATGCCCCAGACATGGCAACCATCCCTCTTCAACCAACCGCCTGCCAACTTGTCGAGGTCCCACGTGGCCGGATGCATCCCCCCGTCCCATCCCTCCTGGCCTCGCATGCTCTCCTTTTCCCGGGCATGACCCACTGCATTGCCTCCTCAACTGTTGGCCAGCCGTCCAGCTTAGAGGCGGTGGGCTGTGGAGCCCCAGAATGCGCCGGTGTCAGGCATGAGCCTCCCTGGCCCCTGCCTCGCCTTGCCCTGCGACAATGGCACCCCTGCCCTGCCTCGCCTTGCCTCGCCTCACCCCACAGGATGAGCCTCCTGCCCACAGCCCCACCTGCCAGAGACCTCCTGGGTCTCCCCCAACCCTGCCCGGCTCCCCACGAGCAACATCGCAGTGACCACGCCTACCTTGGCCACACCCACCCAGTCTGTCATGACCACCACAGCCATGCCCACCCAGTGGGCCATGCCCACCTGGCACCCAATGATAAATAAGTGGGTTTTGAAGTGCAGTTTGGGCACTCAGTCTCTAAAAGGTTCGCCATGACTGAACTATGTGATTTGTGCTAGCAAAGTCAATTGAGAAGGGATTCATCTTGCATTGAACTGATTTAGAACAGTACTACTAATATTGCCTGCAATGACACTTTAATGTCATTTTTTGTTGTTTGGGGACATGAATATGCATATACTTTCATATTCAGCTGATGCTATATTGCTGGCTGAGAATCAAAATGATTCCAATAAATGTTAGCTAAACTGTATGAAACAAGGGGTATGGATCTGAAAATTAATGTATCCAAGGCCAAAGAATTTGTGTTTGACAAGGAGAATCGAACTGTTGCAAGATATATAAATGGTGAAAAACCAGAACAAAGTGATACATATGTGTATCTTGGTAGAATGTTTACTAAAGATATTGAGTTCTTGAAATATTACTCTTTTAAAAGATTAGCAAAATAATTTACCCTGCAATAACCTTTAGCCCATTATCACTGCATTATTAAAGTTGATATAGCTATTGGTTTCAATATATTGACTATAAAGTAAAAAAAAAAACTATGATTCACCACTCTTCAGAAAGATTATAGAACAAATCAACAAACATGTAAAATATTAAGCCGTGTCATAAAACTGAATGATACATACTGAGTATATATGCACTCAGTTCAAAAGTACTTAATCCCAAGTAACTGTAACACTGCAATTTAAATTGTGGATCTTTATTATTACCTTATGATCCTTAAAATCAACTACTATATTAAAACATTCATGTATAAGAAATCAACAAAACTGAGACATATGGGATATAGTCTTAGTAATCTCTATGTATGGATAAGAATGATATTTATTTATCTATTTATTTGCAAAGATCTCTCCCTATTCATATAACTCCAAAGTTTTAAAAATTAAGGTATTATAATTAAGGTATATTATAGCTGTTCTCTCCAATTTTCTACCATTCCATAGCATACTACATAAGGTAAGACTTACTAAGAATTATCTTAATGAATAAAATAATTTATATGCTTAAATTTATTCCAAAGACTTGGAGTAAATTTGTATCACTTTTAAGTTTAAAATATACTTCTGATTTTGAATAAAACACAATTCTGTGTATACTTAAGACGGAAGTAAGGAAATAAAGTTGTTCTCTTAGTTCATCCTGGGAAAATTTCCAAATAGGCCATCCACTGGACAAACCTTACCTTGCTCAGGCCCACCTGGATGGTCTTTAGAAACTGTTCCCAACAGGAAAGAGGGAGAGGAAGTTCATTTGCAGTCCTTCAGTACAGCCATCCCCAGGCCCTCTGTCCCAGACTCATATTGGGTGCCCGAAGAGGATGACCGTCTCCAAGAACAGTGCAAGTTGGAGCCCTTTTTGCGAAAGGAAGAGGTGAAGCGGTAGAACTTCCTGTGCTGGTTCCGAAGATACTTGCGATAGTTCCTGGTCAGCAAGATATAAAGGAAGGGGTTGATGCAACTATTGCTGTAGGTCAGACAGGTGACCAGGTAGTTAATATACTTCTGGATGTGGAGTGGCAGCCCCAGGGGACCGTGGTAGAGGGACACCAGCTGCCAGATCCAGAAGGGCAAGAAGCAGGCCCAGAAGACCAGCACGATGGTGAAGACCAGGATGAGGACTTTCTGGCGGGGGGAGCGCTTGGGCCCCGTCTTGCGCGGCGGGTTCTTCTGCGACTCCAAGTAAGTGGCGGCCAGGCGGGCGTAGAGGCAGCCAATGAGTAGCCCGGGGGCCAGGATGCTGGTGCTGAAAAGAACCGTCAGGTAGAGGCGAAAGGCGTCGGGGCTCCAGGTCGGGGCGCAGATATGCTTGCCGTCGCCGCTCTGGCTCAGGGTGACCATCAGCATCATGGGCAGGGTCAGCAGGAGCGAGATCCCCCAGACGGCGCCGGCGGTGAGCCTGCGGAAGCGCGGCGCCCGGTAGCGCACGGCCAAGGGCCGGGTGACGGCCAAGTAGCGCTCGGTGCACATGACGGTCAGGGTGAAGATGCTGGCGTGCATGGTGAGCAGGTCCAGGCTGAGCAGGAAGCGGCAGCCCAGCTCGCCGAAGTACCAGTCCTGCGCCACCGACGTGCCCACGATGAAGGGGATGGAGCAGAGGTAGAGCAGGTCGGCCAGCGCCAGGCTGGCAATGGAGCCGGACAAGGGCGCGCCGCGGGCGCCCCGGCCCGAGCGCCACAGCAGCGCCAAAGTGTACACGTTGCCCGTCACGCCGGCCACACACATGACGGAGAGGACCGCGCCAAAAACCCAAGTCGCCGCCGCCGCTTCCCCGCCGTTCCCAGACGCTGCCCGGGAAGACTCGTTGCCAAGCCCGCCGCTCAAGTTGCGCTCCATTGCGCGCGCGGAGCAAGTGGGACCAGTCGCCTCTCCCCCCCCCCTCCCCCGCGCCTCTTCCAACTTGCTGCGCGGTGGCCACCGCCTCCCGCTCCCCCGGCGGCGCTCCAGGCGGCCAATGGCTGGCTCCGTTCCCGAGCCTTGCCTGCCCCACCGCGTTCCGCGGCTGCTGCTGCTGCTGCTCCAGCGGCCGCCCGAGACGAGCCGCCTTCTCCTTCTCCTCCTTCTTCAGCGGGTTGAAAGTCGGAGTTGAGCAAAAGCTTGAGCAGTCGGGAAGGGCAGTTGCGCTCCTGGAAAGTTTGGCTTCGTGGGATTGTCTTGTGGGTGTTTTATGGAGCCGACTCGCTTCTTCTTCCTCTGGAAAGCAAGTGGCCTCGAAGGGAAGGCAGTAGGTTTACTTAGGAGACTTTAGGAATGTAACCCCAGTTTATCAAGCACTTAGGAAGCGAGAGCTTGGCAGCACAAGGAAACAACCGCCAAGAACTAAATAACCAGCCCTCAACTCCCTAATCTGCATCTAAAAAGCTACACACAACAGGCACAATATAAATCCCACACGCTCTGCTAGAGAGAAGTGTCCTGAAGATGGGCTCCAGCACAAGTTCAAGTCCCGAAAGTTCGGAAGATAAAATCTCTGGTCCTGGTGACTAACTCAGATTGGATCCTGCAACTTTAGAAATAGCCCTTCTTCAATTTCATTAACCCTATTTGCCATTCACCTTTCCCTTGGGAGCTGCATAGGGGGATCTCTGCCTCACCGTCATAAAAAAGCTTGCTTTGAGGTTTGCAATTTGGCTGACAGAGAGTGGATGGCCCAAATCACATATTGTAGGAGGAGAGGCTATGGTAGCCAAAAATTAGAGTCTGTCAGCAGCACCCTTTTAAACTAAGTTTGGCTTATGACTTATAAGCTTATAATTTGATTTTTGAAAGGCTCTAAATCACCAATAAGCGTGTGAAAACAACTCTTCTGGATTAGGCCAAGGGTCATCTTAGTCCAAGGTTTGGTTTCTCACAGTGGCCAACCAGAAACAAGCAGGAGACATTGACATACAGTACACTTCCTTTACTGTTACTCCCGTTCTCTTGTTATTTCCAAAAGTGCTATCTCAGAAGCATTCTTAAAATAAATAGCCCTTAACACACCAGTTCAAGAATGTATCCAACCTTCTTTTAAAGCCATTCAAGTTTTGTTCCTTTGTTTTTACACTTACAAGTCAATCAGTAATGATGTCTGGTGGCCACCTGGAAAAGTCCCTGCAAGTTTTTGTTTTCAGATCTTAGAAGTAGTTTGCTATTGCCTTCTTCGTAGGGGTGAGAAAGTGAGTTACTGGCCCAAAATCACTCAGTTTAGGCTTCATATAGGACTAGAACTCCCAGTCTCCCAGTTTCTAGCCTGATGCCTTAACCATTATCACCAAACTCACTGGTGATAGTGAATTTTTTTCTGCATGCCTATCTCCTTCCAAACAGCTTCCATGGATGATCCTGGCCCTTAACATTTTAAGAAAAGAGAAAAGCTTCTCTCTGCCCACTTCCTCCATGCTGAGAATGATTTTATATATTACAATTGTGGTCTTGATCAATCATCTGATTTTATACACTGCAATCATGTCCTCATTCAGTCATTCTTTTTTCCAGGCTAAAGAGTCCCAAATGTTTTAGCCTTTTCTTATAAGAAAGGTATTAGTTTTCCTGCTCCTGGGTGTTTTTCCACTCTATAATATCCTTTTCCCCCCAAATTTGGTGACGAACTATACAGAGTTTTCTAGATGTGGATGTACATTTGAATAAGGGCTTTACAACATCAGTTTTAGTTTTACTTTACAGCAGTTTTTACTTTCCATCTCTTTCCCCAATGATTCCTAGAATGAAATTTGCCTTTTTTTAATGCTTCCAACAAGTATGTCAGTATCTTCACTGAACTATCCACTGTAGTCCTGAAATCTTTCCCAGGTTATTTACAGACAACTCAACCTCTAAAGCTGCATGCAGACATACCTTTAGCTTTATACGTCAATGGTGTACTTCATCTAGTCCAGTGGTTCTCAACCTTTCTAATGCCGTGACCCCATAATACAGTTCCCCATGTTGTGGTGACCTCCAAGTGGGTGTGGCCACCAATAAGAGGGAGTAGGACAGCTAGGGAAAAGGGAACAAAATGGTGGACAGCATGGTTTGGCGACCCCCATGAAATGGTCGTTCGACCCCAAATGGGGTCCCGACCCACAGGTTGAGAACCATTGATCTAGTCTGTCTTCTGAATTCTGAAAGAATCTGAGGCAGAATTACACTTTTGTTTAAACCATGACTAAATTGTTATGCCTATTCCAGCCTGCAGCCTTGAGAAACAAATGTAACCCTTTTAGGGCAGACTATATGAGAAAAGATAGAGAGACCAGTGACGGTTTGAAAACATCAACAAAGTTCAGGACTCACTTTTCATAACTATATACACATTACTCCCTTAGATCTATAGCTTTCAGAAATCTGAAGTGCAAATTAAACACTTGGTACAAATGCATTAAAAAGCTCCATCAGAAAGAGGCATCCTGACATTTCCCTATTATTTTAGACTGCCTCTCCCATAGCTCCTTAATATTAACCAGGCTGATTAGGTCCCCTGAAACTTTAAGTCGGAAATATTTCGTTTCCTATTTCTTCAAGTCACTCTTGGCTCCTGGGAGCTGCTTGGACAAATCCCTGCAGTGTTCTTGGATATGGTTTCTTCTTACCTTTTTCCCAGGACTAAAAGAGAATGAGTAGCTCAAAGTCACTCAGCTGGTTTCATTCCTAAGGTGGAACTAGAACTCACAAACTCTCAGTTTCTAGCCTGGTACCTTGATCATTAGACCAAACTGGCTTCCCCCAAACATCTAGCCTGCTCCAAAGTAACTAAAGCTAACTTACTACTTTGTCAGTGAAAATATCAGGATATAATAAAAAAATTACATAGAAGAGTATTAACTATTTTTGGCATGGGTGCTGTTCTGCTCGTTTTCTGTTATGAAAAATTTAAGGTATACAATCATTTATTCAGAGATAAAACATCTGTCCTTTGCTGTTCAATAAAGCAGTCTCTTCGGGCTGTTTTTCATAAAACAAAATATGCTGGATTTCCTACACAGTCCAATATGTCACTGAAATAACTCTACAACAATATTTTTCCCCTGAAAGTGGCTCTTTCAGTATTTTAGAGAAAGATGTTCCCTCTCTATGTTTTAGACATAGAAACATAGAGAGGAAACATCTTTCTCTAAAATACTAAAATATGTTTTAAGGCGTGCAACATTTTATTTCTTTATTCGTCCTTAGTATTTTAAAATGTTAGCTTAAAGATATTATATCTCCTTGAATATTTTTTTTACACAGTTTTAAATTCAAAATTTGAATTCATGGTGATACCCAAGTATTTTAATGACTTTTCTTTATGACTTTTAAGCTTTGGACCTAAACTAGTAGTGCATCCACATAAAGAAGTTTAATGTTAATTGGAACAAAATGCATATATTCACAGCCCTTAGGAGTGTGTGTGGGGGGGAGAGTGCAGGAGAATAGAAATTTATTTTATAATTATTCTTAATTATTAGGTTCTGGGGATATTCCTGATTGTGGTATATAATTGATAATTGACCAGCAACAATCAATTGATGCAGGTTTCATCATGGTATCTGTTGTAAGATGTTTGTCTCTATTTTCTTTTTTCAGTTATGTAACATTGGTTTTAGATAAAAATAATCAACAGGGAGATAAGAGCCTGTTATTCAGTTGTATCTCTAGAATATATTATAAAATAACTCAGAAACAATACCCAGTATTTACTCTTGATCCAATTTTATTCCTAATATCAAAACTTATCAAATTCATTACATGAGACTTACTAATAATACCAACAATTTTTGGCTCCAATTATTGGAGTTCTATTATTATAAATGCCATCAAAATATGGCAGTGTCTGTACATTATCTTTATAGCCATACATCACTTCCTCAGCTCCTGCTTTGTCTTTAAACTGGTATATACAGATGACATCTTTACTATATTGGCTTAAAGATAAGAGGTCTTGAGCAAAGATTTGTCAAAACTGTTCAGGATATTCTGCCACTAATGTCATTCCTGAGCAAAGGAATTGCAAAGACCACTTTCATTGTGAAGTAGCTATACTATAATGTATTAGAAGTTTGAACAGCTTTTATTATGGGTTAAACAAAGCCCTGGGATTTTTATACTCTGTGCATTAAATAGCTCATCAATGCATGCATGTCTATCACATCCAACATTTTTTATTAATAGCCATTATGTATAGTTTATTTGTACTGATTGTGCTTTCTACATTTTATTAATGTCTGACATTCCTTTTATTATTTCTCCCTCCTCCACAGCAAAGTGTATACTACAGTATTATATACTCCATGTACTTTATGAAGCAGATAATGATCCATGAAAGTGTATGTTGTGATCAAGCAGTTAGCTCTTCAATGTTACAAGAATGTTCTTTGTCCCTTTTGTAAAAAAAAAAAAAAAAAATCTAGCAGAGTTCAGATATCAAAAGTTTAGGTTCTCCCAGCCACAAAATACACTTTTTCTTAACCATTTCCTTTCAGTAAATTCATTGATCATCTGGTAATAAAATGATTCATTTCAGATTTGAGAGCAAAAGGGTGCTTCTGAACAGGAGGGTCAGAGATATAGCACCTTTTTGTAGCTCCTTGGGGAAAAAAGCTGGCTGTTTTAAAAAGTTAAGGTAAAGAAGAAAATGTTTTTAGTTTGTAAGAGGCAGACACTTAACACTGTAGTGTGTTATATTAAAATGCTCTTATGCATTGTTCTATTGTCCTTATTCAATTTTATCAAAAAGAAATAGCTACTCTGGAAGAATGTTTCAAGAAAATGTTTATGAGTGGTTTGTGTCATTTTTAACTACCAGATTACCAAGGGGCATGTCTCTGTGTCCTAAATCATTCCTATTTCCTTGGTTTCTAACACCTATATTTAATCCCTAGGGAAGATATCACTAAGAGAAG